TCCCTCGAAAGACGTATTAGCAGTTTAGAATAGCTTATTCCGGGTCGTGCTTTACAATTAAAAAGAAATCATAGTTTTCAATGATGTTTATTTCTTCGGATTCCGATAGAGCTTCAAAAATCTTATACAAATAGAGCCTTTTCCAATGGTTGAGAGCTTACTCCATGCTATACAAAGCCAAACATCTGGACATAAACCCCTAATTGAAGTATTCTTGGAAAATCAAAGTTCACTGCAAAAGAAGCATTTCTAAGACATATAATAGTCATATAGGTAATCAGCGTGAGCGACTTGTTATTTGCAAAGGGTTTAAAAAACTAACTTTCAGAAAACCTTTTCTCTGGTTCTCATAGGGAAGTACTGGAATCTCAAAATCAGCAACTGATTTCAACAAAAATGAGCCTGTGGCATTCATAGCTTATATGGCGCTGCTCGTAGTGGGATGGTTATGACCTGAAAATATTTTGGGTCGAAAATAGTCTTATTCCAACCCATTCTTTCTAGGATTACATGTCAATTTCGGATAAATCGTACCAATTTCAGCAAAACCCAAATTCCTTCCAGTCAATTCCAATTTCAATCGATTCTATCAATTCTAAGTCAAGAATTGCAAATTGAAACGCGATGGAGTTAGTATTCCTGCAAACCGAAGAATGTTACTTTGTTTTGCTCAAGAGTTTTTGCAAGATGTTTTGCTCCTTCGTCACCTATTTGATTGTCTTCAAGGTCCACAGTAGTGAGTGTCTGTTTTATAGAGTCATATTGGGATAATTATACACAGAATGACAACGATACTTTGTTTTCTATAAGAGATTTTGAAAGATGTTTTGCTCCATTGTCGCCTATTTCATTGCCTGTGAGGTTCAGTGTAGCGAGTGTCTGTTTTAAAGAGACAATCGGCGAAACACAGAGAATGTAAGAATGTTACTTTGTTTTTTTCAAGATTTTTTGCAAGATACTCTACTCCTTCGTCACCTATTTGATTCTTGGCGAGGATCACTGCAGTGAGTGTCTATTTTATACTGCCAATATCTGACATAGAAAGAATGAGACTGTTACTGTGTTTTGTTTAAGAATTTTTGCAAGACATTTTGCTCCTTCGTCATCAATTCGGTTCCCAGAGAGATTCAGTATAGTGAGTGTCTATTTTTAAGAGGGTAATGAGTGATATGCAGAGAATGTTAGCATTTTACTTTCTTGTTTTCAAGAGTTTTTGCAAGATGTTCTGCTTCTTCCTCATCTATTTGATGCCATCCGAGGTCCACTGTAGTGAATATCTGTTTTGAAGAGGGAATGAGTGATATACAGAAAATGTGAGAATGTTACTTTGCTTTGTTGAAGAACTTTGGCGAGACGTCGTGTTCCTTCGTCACCTATTTGATTGTGCGCGAGTTCGAGTGTAGTGAGTTTCTGTTTTAAGGAGTAATGCATGATATAGAGAGAATATGAGATGTTACTTTGTTTTGTTGAAGAGCTTTGGCAAGATGTTGTACTCCTTCGTCACCTATTTGATTCTCAGTTAGGTTCAGTATAGTGAGTGTCTGTTTCACAGAACGACTGAATGATATAGTGAGAATTGGAGAATGTTACTTTGTTTTGTTCAAGAGCTTTGGCAAGATGTTGTGAACCTTCGTCACCTATTTGATTCCGAGTTAAGTTCAGTGTAGTGAGTGTCTGTTTTAAAGAACGACTGAATAATACAGCGAGAATTGGAGAATGTTACTTTGTTTTGATCAAGTGCTTTGGCAAGATGTTTTGCCCCTTCGTCACCTATTCGAAATATAGTTAGGGTCAATGTAGTGATTGTCTGTTTTAAAGAACGCCTGAGTGATATAGCGAGAATTCGAGAACGTTACTTTGTTTCGTCCAAGAGCTTTCACAAGATGTTGCACTTCTTCGCCACCTATTTCATTCACAGTTAGGTTCAGTGTAGTGAGTGTCTGTTTAAAAGAGCCACTGGGTGATATAGTGAGAATTGAAGAATGTTACATTGTTTTGTTCAAGTGCTTTGGCAAGATGTTTTGCTCCCTCGTCACCTATTCGAAATATAGTTAGGGTCAATGTAGTGAGTGTCTGTTTTAAAGAACGCCTGAGTGATATAGCGAGAATTGGAAAATGTTACATTGGTTTGTTGAAGAGCTTTGGCAAGATTTTCTGTTTCGTTGGCATCTTTTTCACACCAACCAAATTCTAGAGTTGTAAGTGTCTGTTTTAAAAAGTCGCTGAGTGATATAGTGAGAATTGGAGAATGCTACTTTGTTTCGCTCTAAAGCTTTCCCAAGATGTTTTGCTCCTTCGTGATCTTTTTTGGTTCTCTATGGGTTTATATGTAGGGAATGATAATTGGCTAAACTTTGAGATAATTATTGATGATCGGAAAAATTTTCTGGGAAAATCGTTCGAATAACGGTTTTTAATGTAATTTTGAGTTGTGTTAGTTGAAGTTTGGAATAGTAATTTTTGATATATTTCTGCAGCGAAAATTAATGGAAACCGAGGAAATAACATTGTTTCTGAGATGTCAGGAAATTCTTGAAAAACTTGTAATAGTGTAGGTGGGTTTGTTAGCTGTAACAAAACAACTTTGTTGGGAGCAAGTTCTCGAAAGATTTTTGAATATGGAAACTGATTTTTGAAAGGGGGTGTCCGACGTAATTGAAAACGTCATCTATTGAAACATGTGAAATTATCGTGACCTGTTATAGTGTATCGGACGTGATTACGGATGGGATACTTTTGAAGGAGCTTATTTGTATGTTTGTAAGTGTTTTAGAATAGAAGAAAATACTTGGATTAAGGTTGGGATATGGCATACAGTGTCTGTAGGAAGAAATTACCAGTAGAAAGCGGTGAACTGAAATTTTTTCTGGGTGGGTGAAATTCAAGTTTAATTAGTTATTTATTTTTTATTCGACTTTTCTTAGGATCTATGCTCAGGTAGTTCAAATCAAGATGTCTGTGTCGCATGCGTTTTAGGCTGATGGTAACAATATTCTGATCAATTGTTCACTAGAGTTCGTGAAAATTTATATTGTCCATGTCGATGCGAACGAAATACGATTTGCGAAAATGGTATCAGGCGTCCCATGTAATCACGAAACGCAAGATCGATGCGTTGAAACGCGGTTTTACAACAAAACGCGTCTAGACGCAGTTAAAAACGGTTTCACAACGCATTCAAATGCATTTTTAATATGTAACGCGTTGAGACGCAGTTAGAAAACTTTTGAAACGCGTCTGAACGCAGTTTTTGTATGCAACGTGTTGAAACGCAATTGTAAAAAAACTATGAACCGCGTCTCAACGCGTTTCATATTGAAATCGCGTTTGTACGTGTTTAACCCTTGGAGTACCGGCCTCTTTTAACCGTGATTTTGATGACATGTGTTCTTTTTTAATAATCCTTTTACTTTTCAGCCAATATTTTCGTAAGATCTGACCTTTTCTTGTTTTATTCTATAGAAAAAAATGAGAACGATGTTCCTTATTTAGAACAATTAATACAAAAGACACGTTTGACAGAATGATCACTACAAACGAACGAAGAACAACTGAAACATTGAATTGATGTTTTCTTGTCCGTAGAACGTTCACAAATGGAGCACCTTTTTCGTTTTGGTTGAGTGGGATTTTCATTCGCTTCTGCCGGATCGTTCTTCGACACAGGATAACCGACGATTGCTAAAGCATTTAGAATATCTGTGTTCAAAAATTTCGAGTTCTTCGAACGAAAATCCAACAGATGCGATACCAGTGCTAATCCTAATTCTTCCAAAAATAATCGACGTTTATGATTTGTATTCTGATTCCATTGAGGATTTTTCACTTTCCAGACAATCAGAGCATTTATGGCAGCAATGTCTATCATCCCATAGAAAATACAAACTGGCCATCGCTTTGTACCTCGTTTTACCTGAAAAGTAAAATAAGCTATAGAAATACTGAAATATTTTTTACCGTGTATTTATGACACATTTGATCAACAGTATCGACAGCCCCCTTTGTTTTGTTATAATCCAATATAATGATCGGTTTTCCAGTTTTATTGTCCACTTGATTGTCGTGATGTTTTGAGGAGAGCAATAAAACAGCTTTATTCTGTTTTGGGACAAATGAAACTAAGGTTAAACCATCTTGGAAACCAAAGAGCGAAGAACCCACTTCACGATTTTCGTTGGATTGAAACTCGATAGGTATTTCTGACTTGTTTTTTCGCAGTGTTCCTATAAGAGTCAGATTCTTTGTTTGAAGCGTTTGGGCTAATGGAACACTTGTGAAGAAATTATCTATTGTAACGTTTCTTTGGAAGCCGTAAAGTGGTTTGAGTAATTCTAGAACGACTTTGGCACCTATCTGTGTTTGTCTTTGCTCATTCGGTTGTCGTCCAACGTAAGGAAATGCATTGAATACATAATGTGAGTCCACATCAACGCATAGCCAAAATTTTAATCCGTATTTGTCAGGCTTTTTTGGCATATATTGACGGAAGGAACATTTTCCTCTAAATCCTAGTAGTTGTTCATCAATAGTAACATTTGATCCCGGTGTGTAACATGTTTGTAAGCAATTTTGGAAATATGACCAGATTTCACGAATTGCTGCAAATTTATCTGTTCGTTTTCTTTCTTCCCTTGTTCTTTTGTCGTCAAATCTCAAACAAGAAATAATATCCTGAAAACGAGTTCTTGACATAGTGGCTTTGAATATTGGCGGTTCTAATGGACTTCTTCTCCATAAGCATTTCAGATCGATCTTCGATTTCCCCAATAAACCAGCAAGCAATAAAAGTCCAATAAATGCTTTCAATTCTATGAGTGTTATTTCTTCAATTTTTTTCGTGGAGGTATTCTTGTGAGTATACTCCAAGTTTGAATAATCCAAGATTTTTTCCAGAAGTTTGTTTGGCATAAAACACATGAATGCATCTTCGACAGATGAAATATTTTCACTGGTATTTGTAAGACCAGCTTTTTGAATAACATCATTCGAAAAATCATTTTTCGTTGAATGATGAGGAGTTGAGGACCAAATCATTCCAGAACGGGAAGTATACGAACTTTTCCATGTGGAGTCATCGTCTAATTTTAGGTTTTCTAAATCAATTTCATCATCATCGTCGGATGTTTGGCTTTCGCCATCTCCCGTTTCCGAACCGCTGTTTGCATCATCGAAATAATCACTGTCGCTTCCGGTTTCACTTGAACTGTCCATAATCTTTATGAAAAATATTTCAATGGATTGAAAATGCACACCCCTTTAGATCAGAGAATGACTCATTTTATTAGACATTAGAATTTTCATTGTTTCTCCGTTTTGTAAAAAACATATTACTGATACAATGTTTTACTAAGGGGGCGCACTAATATGGAGAAAGAATGTATTTCGTTCTAGATTCATTATCATATATCTCTTCGTAAAGGTTACTAGCTGCTGCTGAAAACTGCGAAACAACAAAACATGTTTAGCATTTTTCGGAGATTTCGAGCGTGGGGTCAAAAATGACCCCGGCTGGTACTCCAAGGGTTAATAAGAGTTTGACTGAACGCGTTCAAACATGGTGTAATATGAGAAGCGTTGAGACGCAGTTAGAAAAAATTTTGAAACGCGTCTGGACGCAGGTTTTCTATACAAGGCGTTTAAACGCAATCAGAAAAAAATGAACCGCGTTTCGACACGTTTCTGAAAAAAATTTGATGCGTTTAAAAAATTTTGTTTACGAACTGGGTTCAAACGTGTCTTAAATATGTTTTTCGCTCGCGTTAGGACGCAATCATATTTTCGAGTGTCTTTGAAAGTGTTTATTTTTTGTGTATCGGACGCGATTTTACCCAAAAATTGCTGCTCTAGAAGAGTTAACTGCATAATCAAAATCATCAGCTTACATGTATTTTATTCATCTAAACTTCATTAAACTTCTAATAAAGAATGTTGAGATGACGTTAAAATAGACAAAATTCAATTAAACATACGGTGAACAGTCCATATTTCTCTAAAGTTTGTAAGAAAAATAGTCAGATAATATTGTAATAGTTTCCAGCTATGCAACGCCCTTTCAGAATATTGTTAAATACTACTCTTTAAATAATATTATTAGTAACTTTTCATCATATATTTCTACTAACTTGGTTGTCAATAATTATCTATTCATTAAATTTTTCGATAAAATTATTTATCATATTACCAGTGCAATAAAAAAGATCGTAATATTTTATGTGTAGTAGATGATAAAAAAAAGATGTTATTTTATTAAAAAAATAAAAAACTTATTTAAAAAAATAACTAAAAAGTCATCTTACGTGTTAAGCCTCTTGAATTCGAAAAAAATACATCTTGTTAAAATAAAGTATTTAACCGATGAAATTCGTCTTCAAATATATTTTATTTTGAATAAGACAAGATTTCGAGTTAGTATAACTCAGCGGTATGTATGAACGACTTCTAATCACTGGTTCATCTGTTCAAATCTGATTGTCGTCACTTAAGGTAAAATCTAATCCATTTGCCAGGGAAGACTAAGACCATCAAAAAATATTGATGGTGGCAACTCAGTTCGAATCTGAAATGGATTATCATATTTTTTTCAAAATTTTTAGTTTTTTTATGAAACGCGTCCAGACGCATTAAATGTTTCATCTGAGACGCGTTTTCGCTAAAACTGCGTTTGAACGCAAGTCAAGCTAGAAGCGCATTCACACGCGTTTCTAAAATAAATCGCGTTTAAACGCTTCGTTTGTTTCACTGGGGACGCGTTCAAACGCGTTCACTCTTAGCGTTTCGCACGCAAATGAAACGCGTTTCAGACGCGTTTTGAGGCAAAAAATATTTACATGGGGTATTAAATTAAATTTTCTATTTAGTACTCATTGTATAAACCCGTTATTCTTGGATTGTGGATAGACTGGCAGCTAGGGTTTATTAATAATATCTTGGAAATGAAAAATATTCAAATCTTCTAATATGGTTATACTTTTGTTCAATTTACAATAATATATATTGATATTGGTTAAATATG